GTAACTGTCCTTCAATACCCGGTGATTAACTACGCGACTTTTGGGCCTTCTTTGTTATATTTTGTTAAAAAGGCCTAAAAAGGCCGAAAAAGGGTAGGTCGCTGCGGGGGGGGTAGCATATATATATATATATATATAATTCGATTCCGTGCTCGTATTGTGAGGGGCTAGTGATCGCCCTAGAGGTTTGTCGTATGTCCCCCCGATTCTTGTTCCTGAGATTTGGTAGGGGCCTAGAGCATTGTCGTATGTCCCCTCCTTTCGCCCCTTCGTGTTGTAGGGGTTTTGTTGGGCCTTGAAGGCTTGTCGTGTGTCCCCTTTCTTCGAGCTTGGAGAATTGAGGAGTGTCGAGATGATTACCATACATCATTTGCTTCCGTGCTCGTACTATGTGGGGTTTGTGACTGCCCTAGAGGTTTGTCTTTTGTCCCCTTCCTTCGTCCCTTCGCGTTGTATGGGTGGTAAGGGTTTTGTGAGGGCCCTGGAGGCTAGTCGTATATCCACTTTCTTCGAGCTTGTAGGGTTTGGGGGGAGCGTCTAGAGTCTAGATGATCGTCATATATGATTTGCTTCCGTGCTCAAACTATGAGGGTCTAGTGGCTGTCCTAGAGGTTTGTCATTTGTCCCCCCCGTTTCCTTGGTCCTGTGATTTGGTAGGGGCTTAGAGGTTTGTCATACGTTCCCTCGCTTCGTCCTTTCGTGTTGCAAGGGTTTTGTGAGAGCCCTGCAAATTTGCCGCGTGTCCCCTTTCTTCTCACTTGTAGGGTTTGGGGAGCGTCTAGACGACTGACATATAATTTGATTCCGTGCTCGTATTGTGAGGGGCTAGTGATTGCCCATGATTGCCCTAGAGGTTTGTCGTATGTCCCCCCGATTCCTGTTCCTGAGATTTGGTAGGGGCTTAGAGCTTTGTCGTATGTCCCCTCCTTTCGCCCCTTCGTGTTGTAGGGGTTTTGTTGGGCCTTGAAGGTTTGTCGTGTGTCCCTTTCTTCGTGCTTGGAGAGTTTGCGGAGCGTCGAGATGATTACCATACATCATTTGCTTCCGTGCTCGTACTATGTGGGGTTACTGACTGCCCTAGAGGTTTGTCGTATGTCCCCTTCCTTCGTCCCTTCGCGTTGTATGGGTGGTTAGGGTTTTGTGAGGGCCCTGGAGGCTAGTCGTATATCCACTTTCTTCGAGCTTGTAGGGTTTGGGGGAGCGTCTAGAGTCTAGATGATCGTCATATATGATTTGCTTCCGTGCTCAAACTATGAGGGGCTAGTGGCTGTCCTAGAGGTTTGTCATTTGTCCCCCCGTTTCCTTGGTCCTGTGATTTGGTAGGGGCTTAGAGGTTTGTCATACGTTCCCTCGCTTCGTCCTTTCGTGTTGCAAGGGTTTTGTGAGAGCCCTGCAAAATTGCCGTGTGTCCCCTTTCTTCTCACTTGTAGGGTTTGGGGAGCGTCTAAACGACTGACATATAATTTGATTCCGTGCTCGTATTGTGAGGGGCTAGTGACTGCCCTAGGGGTTTGTCGTATGCCCCCTCCCCCGCTTCCTTGTTCCTGTGATGTAGTAGGGGCCTACAGGTTTGTCGTATGTCCCCTGCCTTCGTCCCTTCGTGTTGTAAGGCTGATAAAATTTTTCTGAGGGCCCTTGGAGATTTGTCGTATGTCCCCACGCTTAGTGTTCCTGAGATTTGGTAGGGGCCAGAGATTTGTCGAATGTCCCCTCCTTTCGTCCCTTCGTGTTGAAATTGCTTTGTTGGGGGAAGGTTTGTCGTACGTCACCTTTCTTTCTTCTTAGAGGGTTTGGGGATCTTCTAGAAAACTGTCATATATCATTTGCTTCCGTGCTCGTATTATGAGGGGCTGGTGTTTGTCATAAAGGTTTGTCGTATGTCCCGCCGCTTTCTGTTCCTGCGATGTGGTAGGGGCCTAAAGAGGTTTGTCGTGTGCCCCCTCCCTTCGTCCCTTTGAGTTGCAAGGGTTTTGTTGGACCTGGAAGATTTATCGTATGTCTCCTTTCTTCGTGCTTGTAGGGCGTGGGGAGCGTCTAGATGATTATCATAAATGATTTGCTTCCGTGCTCGTATTATGAGGGGCTAGTGACTGCCCTAGAGGTTTGTTTTATGTCTCCCTGCTTCGTGTTCATGTGATTTGCTAGGGTCCTGGAGATTTGTCGTATGTCATTTTACCATATACGAAATTAGATACAATCCCTTCGTCCCTTCGTGTTGTAAGGGTTTCGTGAGGGTCCTAGAGGTTTGTCGTATGTGCCCTTCCTTCGTCCCTTCTTGTTGTGAGGGTTTTGTGAGGGCCCTGCAAATTTGCCGTATGTCCCCTTTCTTCGTGCTTGTAGGATTTGGGCAGCGTCTAGATGATTGTCATTATCATTTGCTTCCGTGCTCGTACTATGAGGCGCTAGTAACTGCCCTAGACCTTCAGGGCCCTCACAAAACCCTTACAACACGAAGGGACGAAGGGAGACGACATACGACAAACCTCTATCATCTAGATGCTCCCCAAACCCTACAAGCAAGAAGAAAGGGGACATACGACAAACCTCCAGGGCCCTCACAGAACCCTTACAATAGGAAGGAATGAAGGGAGGCGACACACTACAAACCTTTAGGCCCCTACCAAATCACAGGATCACGAAGCGGGGGCGTCATCTGACAAACCTCCAGGCCAATCACTAGCCCCTCATAATACGAGCACGGAAGCACATGATATGTGATTATCATCTACACACTCCCCAGACCCTACAAGCACGAACAAAGGGGACATACGACAAACCTCCAGGACCCTCCCAAAACCCTTACAACACGAAGGGACGAAGGGAGGGGACACACGACAAACCTTTAGCCCCCTACCAAATCACAGGAACACGAAGCGGGGGGACATACGACAAACCTCTAGGGCAGGCACTAGCCCTCATAATACGAGCACGGAAACACATCATATATGTTAATCATTTTGATGCTCCCCCAAAACCTATAAGAACGAGAAAGGGGAAGCACACAAACCTCCAAAGCCCTTACACAACCCTTACAACACGAAGGGACGAAGCGAGGGGACATACGACAAACCTCTGGCCCCTACCAAGTCACAGGAAACACGAAGCGAGGGTGCTTGCCTAAGTCTGGCTGTTGGCCGGCTGGATCTACATTTACTGCTACTACTACTACTACTACTCCTACTACTCCTACTACTACTACCACTACTACTTTCAAGAAGTTTTGTAAATAGTAAACAAAGGGGCGTGCCAAATAGACCCTAAAGGTCCATGCCACATAGTACAGTATCTCTGTGTCGAGTATTTGGTAATCACACGTTTTACTTTGCAGAGTGCAGCCCTCGTCCGAGCCCTCATTCCGCAGGGGACTGCACCTCTAGTAGTCTCTGCTGCCGCTAATTACCTTGCCTCAGGAGAGAGCAAAGTTCAGAAGCTAAATCCAGCACCACAACAAGCAGCATGCCTCCCTGATGAGGTGACAGCTTCAACCCGTGACCCCTGCAGCCCTAAACCTGCAGCCCTTGAACTTTGCCACGTGAATGCGTCGCCTTGCGAGCCATCCGTCGCCAAGAGTCGCAGCACTGCTCAACATGCCGATGAGCTTCAAGCACGAGCATGTGGGCATCAACAAGCGTACGTGCACGATCACCCGCGGAGGCCAGCCGGCTGTTGAGTACCCCAACCCCTGCAACTGCAAGTAGGACAAGCGCCCGGAACAACTAGACAGTTTCAGTTCCGACATCTTGCAAACTACTTTGCGAAAGCAGGAGGCGGTTTTTTGTTGTCTGTGCTTGACGTTGCCGAGTCCTTGCTCGGTATGCTTGCAGGAACTCGCGGCACGAGCAATTTCAGTTTCGCTGTTCTCGGGAAGATCGCGTTTGGTATTACCAAAAGGGTGACACGACAGAGCAAAGAAGAAACCCAACGGCGTCTGCCTGCGACGTGATGCGTGCAGACAAGATGTATCGACCGGTCAAACCATGCTCCTCCCCTCGACATGGCATGTTGTTTTTATAAACGTGCTTTTCTGTTCGACATAAACTTTTCCATTCTGTTTTTGTGTCATACCTTGAGGGCCAGGTATCCAATAAGTCGCAGACTTGCCATGTAGCAAAGCAGACCTCGCGCAAGAGACAGAGGAGCGTTTGGGCAAGGCTCTTCTCCAGAGACTGGTGCACTGCAGCGTTGGCTCAGAGCTTGCTGATTCTGCACCCGCTGCGCAGGTGTCTTTCACAAGGGTGTCGCAGATCCAGCACGCTCGCAATGCCCGCTTGAGGGGGGATCCTGTAGGACTGTAGGGTTTAGATTTGGTTGAGATTTTCGGGCTTGTGGGGTTTTAGCGTTTAGGCCTGCGGGGCTGAGGCTAAGGCTCTAAGGGTTCAGGTCTAGGGCTTTAGGATGCTTTAGGGTTAACGGCTTTCGGGCTTCAGGGTTAAGGGCTTTAAGGTTTTAGGGTTCAGGGAACTAGGTTTAAGGGTTAAGGGGTTTGGGTTTGGGTCTGTCAGTTTTGGGAGTGGGGGGTTGGTCACAGAATTGAGTGCCGGGTACTTACCACTTGAAGTACAAAGTCCTGTTTGCCACGGTTGTATACTTCAGCAGGATTTCGGCTTAAACAGCAAAGCTGAACCCTCGATGGTTGTGGGAGTTGATCGTCCAGCTACACCCTAAATGGCCCAGATCCCAAAAGCCCTAACGCCAAACCTTGAACCCTAAACCCTGATCGAAACCCTAAAGCCGCCTAAAGCCCTAAAGCCTGAGACCCAAACCCTAAACTCTCAACACTGAGATCTCAAAATTCCCCCAAAACGAAAGTAAACCCCAACCACAATTTAAAAGTGCGGTCTCCCCGAAGCCTTATATCCCAACGTTGCGAATAGCCCTCAACATCCCTCAGCCCTGAGCCCTAAGCCCTGACATTGGTGTTGCATGTGCTGCGGCTGGCAGCGACTGGCCAAGTTTAGTGTTTCACATCGAACACTTGTGCTCCCCAGCGGGAGCTCCGAATGCTGACAGCTGCTGGGCCCCGCGCGCACATCCTGTCCCTCTCCTGTCTGAATGGATCCTGCAGAGCGTCGGCAAAGCCTGACTCTCCAAATCGTGCATGGAACCGGCGCCGGACACTGCCGGTGGTGTTGGCACCCGCATTGGTGAGGACAGCACGTGTGTCACGACGAGCCATCCAGGGAGATGCCGCCAATCGGGCGCGCCGCCTGCAGGGCGCAGACTTAAAAGCGGAGTTGCAGCGCCGCAGGGGCCTGGTGTCTCAGCTGCGTGCCTCGGCCCTCCAGGACGATGCAGCCGAGGCGTTTGACGATCTCGGTGTTGCACTGTTAGCCACGGGTGAGAAAGCGCAAGCTGTAGAGGCGGAGGCGGCTTTTCGACAGTCGCTGGAAATTTGCCGACGCAGGGCCCTGGATGCTGACTCGCTTTGGGCGGCCAACAATCTGGCTGTGGCTCTCAAAGCGCAAGGTGAATCGAGATACGGCGAGGCGCTGGAGTTATACCAGGAGATCTTGCAGGCAAGGCTTCGGAATGATCCACGCGAAGAGGATCCGAGCACCCTCACCAGCATGAACAACCTGGGAGTGTTGCTGAAGAAGCAAGGCAAAGTCGTCGAAGCGGAGCAGTTCTACCGCCGGGCGCTTGCGAGGCGCCGGGCAGTGCTCGGCAACTTAGATCCTGACACCTTGACGAGCATCAACAACTTGGCAGTTCTTCTCTCCACTACAAAAACCCAAGAAGCTGAGGAGCTTTTTGCAGAGGCTTTGGCGGGCTGTCGTGCAGTGCTTGGTGCGACGGACATGGATACTTTATTGAGTGCTGACAACCTCGCTGCTTTGTTGTATCAGAAAGGCCGTCCCAGTGAAGCGGAGCCTCTCTTTCGTGAGGCTGCGCTGGGCTTCGCCACTCTCCTAGGCTCTCGAGATCCTGAGACCTTGCGCAGCCAGGACAACTTGGCTGTGACGCTCTTGGAGTTGGGACGACTGGACGAGGCCGAGGTGCTGCTTCGGTCAACAGTGGAAGGTTTCATAGCCATCCGTGGGGCAGATCACCCGGACACTGCAGTGGCACAGGAGAACCTTCGAGCTGTACTGGAGGCGAAAGAGGCGCGCAACCGCGAGGGCATGAGTACTGTGTGAGGATGCCTGACGTTTCTGGTAAAGACCGAATCACAGAAAGCAGTATGGCAGTATGGACCAGTATGGATATCAGCTTGTGCAAGGTGCGTGAAAGGAAGCGTGCAAGCCTGCAAGTGCATGTGCATGACAATACTCGGCACGGGTTTAGCTGCTCTGCATTGTGAAAGTTGCCCTTTAGGCCTGGATAACTTTGGAGCAAATGTGTGCAATACTAAAGGATGGCCTAAGTAGCAAACTGACCTCAATGTGCACTGAGGGAAACATATAGACCGGCATAGAAACCATGTTGGATGCCAAGTTAAGATTTTTGGATCAACAACGAACATTGTGCATATATCATCAAGAATCTGCACAACTTTCGCAACTAGGCCAATGCGCTGTGTTATTGCCAGGCGAGTTGGAGAAGGTCGTCCGCAACGAGCTTCGAAGGAAACCGCCTGTCGCGAGAGAGAACAAGGAGAGGTGCGCTGGTTTGGTATTGTGACAGGTGACAAGCTTATTACATGGCCAGTGCAATTCCTGTGTACCGGAAGTACGCCCCTGACACTGTCATGTACTTGCACCGCGAACTGCGCAGACCAAGTTTCGAAGCGTGGGGCGGGGGGAGTTCAACCCCCTGAGTCCATCATGTCATCTGTGACGCTGGCAGGTGATCGGGTCAAATTGTCCATCAACGAGTTGAACGGCAAGAGCAAGAGCGAATCTTTTGAACTCCGGCCAAGCATATCCATGTCGTGAAGCAGGTTGCAGGTTGGATGGTCTGTTTTTTTTTTTGCAAGTTGTCGCTGTTGACCGGAAAAGGAGTTCGGAAGTGGCGGTGGAGCATGCCCAGCTCAGAAACACGCATGCGACCCCATGCGCAATGATGAAAGTCATCGTCGCCAACGTCCTCCCTCGCCGGGGAGGACATTGAGGGTGTAAACCTTTTCTAGCGGATGCAGAGCACTGGCCTAGTAGTTCGGCAGCTCTATGAAGCCTGTGTAATCCCCTTAAGCAACCCTATGAAGGGGCCTCTTTAAAGTGGGCTACAGGGTACCATAGCCCATCATGGTTCTTGTTGTCACAAGAAGCTTCACTGTCTGCTCTGGCTCGCCCTTGCTTTGCCTGCTTGGGATATAGCCTAACCCTGCTGGCATGGTTTGCATCTGCACTTCCTAGCATCTGTGAACAACACAAGCCTTGCCAATGTCGAGATGTGATCTTGGGAGGAGTATACGCGGCCGGAGCCGAAGCTACCCGCAGCGGACGTTGATGATGCCATGGTTCTCGTCGCCAGCAAGTAGCATCGGCCGTAGCTCGGGCCATGAATGCCGCCTCAAGTTGGGCTGCAAAAGTTTTGCCTATCTCTTTAATTAAGGCGTGCCTTGCAGGGGAGCGCCTTTCCTCCTGCCTGGGGCTTGATCGTCCTACTGCAAGCCAAGACAAGACATACCCAGACATACCCAGACTGCCTTGAGCATGTTTTACCGCTCTCCTGCAAGATGCTGGGTCGCCGTAGTTGTTCAATGTCGATTGTTGGATCTGCCCGAAGGGTGGCCCAACGACCTGGTCTGAGCTGACGCCCATTTCGGAGCTCGCTCAGCCCAGGAGTGCAGGGTCTCAGGGCACACCTGTTCGAAGGTGATGTGTATGCTTGTAGCATGCCATCGTCAAAATTTCTTGTGCTTGGCATGTTTCTTGGGATAGTTTACGCAGTATTCACCAAAAAGCAGCAGGAGCGTAGGCGAACGTAAGGCCTAAACCCTCACAAGCCTTAAGCATCAACTCGAAGTGGTGCCCAAGAGTGCATGAGACAGGCCAGGGCAGGGGCCCGTCCCTCGGAGCTGAAGAGGCCTTGCAAGGAAAGATGGCTTTCAGAAGCCTTGGTCTCTTTTCCCGCAATCCAATTCGCAACACGGCCTGGTCCTGTGCTGGAATTCTGCTACAAGATGTTGAAAGCGAAAGGCAGGAGGAAACAGTCATGGAGTCATACACAGCGTGATTTGCTTCGGGACGTGCAGGCGATGCGATGGTGCATGTGCTGGGAATGGGAGATGCGGGTGTTTGGATGGGTGGATCTGCGGGCAAAGGAACATGTCTTCTTTCCACTGCTGGGCAACCTGGGTTCGTCGCGTGGATTCAGGAGTGCTGGGCCGTTCAGGCCGGCACATTCGGCTTTGTTAGACTTGTTAGATGGTCTTTAGTTATGGGAAGGTGACCTGGCTGACCCCCCAAAAACCCGCTGCACCCCAAAACCCCCTCTGCTCCCGCCTCCCCTTCGATTGCCAACGCACCGTGAAACCGAGGCCCAGGCGTGCAGGCCGGCCATGGCCTCACCAAGGTCGGTCGGGGGAGCTCGGACTTTCGGGGAGAGTGCTTCCGGGGGCTGGGATGCTGCTGCCCTTTCGGGTCTCGGTGGTAGTTGCTTGCAGGCGAGCGCGAGAGAGACAGAGAGCGAGAGAGCGAGAGTGGGAGCGGGACCGGGGCGCGCTGTCGCGCGGGGGGTTTTCCCCTCAAGCCCCAAAGAAAGAAAGAAAAGAGCGAGAGTGAGAGGGAGCCCTTGGCGACGCTTGCAGTGGCACGTTTGTGATTCCGTGTTGAGGGTTGAAAGTTTAGAGTTTAGGCCGTTTTTTGTCAAGGCACGGCAACCAGACAAACCAGACAAAAACGGACCTCCCCTTTCATGTCAGCCGCATCCTGAACCCAAATTCCCCCAGCTTCGCTAAGCTTGCCCAGTGCCGGCGGCCCCTCACCGGACGCTCCGCAGTCGCCGGGGAAGGGCAGGATGCTGAGGGTGGAGTTCAAGGCGGGGCTCAGGGAAATGGTGAGGTAAGGCTGGGGGTCTCGTGGATTCTCTTTCACATGCGTAGTAGACGCCTGGTCATGCATTCTGTGCATTCTGCGCAGGGCCAGCCCTACGACTGGTTCAGCCTTGATGACATGGGCTCCCTCATCCAGTCTGAGGAGTTTGCCAGCACCTTGAAGGAGGTCCTGAGCGCCATACTGACCTTGCTCTAACCTTGCTCTAGCCTTGCTTTACCTTGCTTTCCCTTGTTTTACCTTGCTTTTGCCATCGGTTTTTCTTTGCGCTGGCAAAGCGCTTGAAAAGGGCTCTTGGCTCGAAAGTGCATAAAATTGACGCCGCCCACGAAGTCCCTGGAACAAGCAGAGATGCTTCGGGGTTGTTCTGCATTGTGGCACCCGTATGTACAAACAGACCCCAAGATGGGCTCGAACAACCGGAATGTGGCAGAACATCAACCACTACTTCAACGTGCCCTTCGAAGAGCAGGCTGTCTTTGACGATGCCGGAAGCTCAGAAAGCCCGGCGCATGTGTATATGTATAACATGCATGCCATGTGATGTTTCCGCGCGATTCCGTTTCTAGAGTCTTGTAGGGTGCCACATACGATGTCATGGCACACTGTGCTGTGTGGCTGACCCAAATTCATCACGTCTGCCCTTGCAGGAGGGCATCTTGGTTGCGCCTGTGGACTTCAAGCGGGCTCTTCAGCATCCGCGTCCCTACTTCAGGTGGGCTTCGGCAGACTGCTAGCATCACGAATACACAGCGCACATTTCAACAAGTGTGATGTTCTGCGTCATTCTGAGCCTAAGAGTTTAATGTTGTCGTACTGTCGTACTTCAACATATAAGGCATACTTCTGGCTTGGGCTGGGGAAACAGGCCGTGGCATTGTATAGGGCTGCTTTGGGATGTATCTTTCTTGGCTCACAAGTCTCAGTCTCAGTCTCTCTCTCTCTCTCTCTCTCTCTCTCTCTCCCTCTCCCCTCAGATGAGCTGAAAGCGTATGATCCGCCATGGTAGGGTCCTCGGGTTGACTGCATGGTTTTCACGACGGATTTTCTAGCCTGGCGTGAAGACTAGATGCATTGCTGCGGTTGCAAAGTTGCTTTCTCAAATTGAGAAGTTTGCACATGTGCACGCCTTGTTAATTGAGGATGCAGGTAGCAGGGTCTAAGCAGAAGCATCCAAGTCTTCCCATGCCCGCCAGGGTGTTCAACCTCCACCAGATGCCGCGAGAACTGCAGGCAATGCTTTAGGGCCGGTATCATGTTGCAGGAGTTGGGTCAGTGGATATGAAACTTTGGAAGCATCTGTCTGGTTGCCAGGGTTGGGGTGGTGCCGGTAACTAGACCCTGATCTCTGCCTCGTGCTTGTAACAAAGAACCAATTTCAGCAGGAGCAGGCCATCGAGAAGTTGGCGACAATCGCCGACGAGGCTTTGGTACAGGGTTTGAGGCTCTGGCTAAAATACTTAGGTTTCCCAGCTGCGGACCTTCGAATCTCATTTGAGGGGTTGACACTGCGCATCAATGTAGCGGGCCATCTGCATGTCAACTACAAGAAAGCTCAGACTCCTTCTGCAATCCACGCAAGCCAGCCCTAAGCCCTCTATACTGGCAACTCTGAGTCAAATGGATCTCTTTGTGGCGGGGCTCGGGTTTTTTCCAGAAGGTTTTTTTTCCCCGAGCTCGCTTAGTTGATGGCTCATATGAGGGTGCCCCGTACGGGATCTCTAAATGATGGGTCCCCTCCTGACGTCCTGGCGTAACGCTGCTTGCTACGTTTTAGAGTATCCCATAGTGGGATCAGAATTTGGAGAACTGATTTGAATGGACTTCCCAGGTGTTGCGGCTTCAGCAGTCGCTAGGAGCTGCCGCCGGCCGCTTAGGCCGCCAAAACCAAGCGGGAAGGGAGGGCCTGGGTTTAGGACTGCAAGGGCTTAGGGTTTGGGGTTTAGGATCGAGGGTTTGCATTGGTTGGTGCTTGAGGGGTTGGGCTTGGGGGCCCATGGGCTGGCTTCAGACGACGCTTCGGGGTTGAGCATCCCGGGATCTTGGGTTGCGACTGGGTTACAACTGTCGGCGACTGTGAGCCTGGCCGT